CATTCAGTTGGGGTTGTTAGCCGCTACATGTCGAATCCGGGTAAAGAGCACTGGGCAGCCGTGAAATGGATTCTCAGATATCTTAGAGGTACCTCCAGAGTTTGTTTATGTTTTGGTATTGGACAGCCTGTGTTAGATGGGTACACAGATGCAGATATGTCTGGAGATGTTGATACTGCAAAGTCTACCTCGGGATACTTGATGACATTTGCTGGAGCTGCAGTTTCATGGCAATCAAGATTGCAGAAGTGTGTTGCTTTGTCCACTACTGAGGCAGAGTATATAGCAACTGTTGAGGCAGGCAAGGAGTTGTTATGGATGAGGAATTTTCTTGAGGAGCTTGGGTTGGAACAAGAAAATTATCTTCTTCATTGTGATTCACAAAGTGCCATCCACCTTGCCAAGAATGCCGCATTTCATTCTCGAACCAAACACATTAAGAGAAGGTATCATTGGATTCGAGAAGCCGTGGAGGACAAGTCCTTTGAACTTGTGAAGATTCACACAAGTGAGAATTGCTCGGATATGTTGACCAAGACATTGCCGAAGGAGAAACTCGTGTTTTGTCGAGAGAGGGCCGGTTTGTTTGCTCACTCCATGTAGGAGTGAGGGGGAGATTTGTTGAGAAATTTCCCTCCTACATGGAGGAAGTGTTCAATTTTAATTGAACAACACATTATATCTCTCTTTTGTATTTGGGCTTATTTTTATGTGTAAAGCTTTAGCCCAAATATTTTTTTGGTGGCCCATCTTGTGTGGCTACTAACTAAAGAAAAAAAAAGAGAGAGATAAGGGGAGTAAAAAAAACAAAAAAGAAGAGGTGAGAGGGCACTGGCAGTAGCTAACGCAGGAAGAGAGGGAGAAAAAGAAGATTTCCGCCACTCTCTGCAGCAGCAACTTTTCACCTCCGGATCGAAGGCCAAACGAAGTCCGATCGTTCTCAAATTTTAGTATGTTGTTCCTCACATACTCTTCAAATCCAACGGTCAGATTCTCATTTTGATGCCCGGAAGGCTATTTTCTGGCTGCGTTTTCAGACCTGCGTTTTTTAGGAGTTTTTACTCCATTTTTGGTGAATTGTTGATTGTTGTTGTTCCAAGGTTGCTCCTTGATGATTGTGTATGCCTCTAGTGTTTACTAGAGAGGAGAACTTGTTGTACCCACTTGATTCTTGGTGATTAGTGGAAATTTGGGAGCCGTTGTTGAGCGGCCGTGGTTTTCTCCCCGATTTGGGGTTTCCACGTAAATCGTGTGTTCTTTATTTTATTTCCGTTGCTATCTATTTGTGGTGGTGGTGCTGATTTTTTGGAGTATATTGTACTTTGTTGTTCATCTCATTAATTTGGGGAAAAGATTTTATACGCTTCCGTTGTGTTTTGTTTCGTGCTTCCCCAACAATAGCAGAAAGATTTCCTTATGTAACGCTATAAAGTAGCTAAAATTACCTATCTAAGACTGCTATGACATTTTTGATATCAATAAAAGTATCCAGCATGACATTATCTTCATTTTTTCTTAATTCTTAAGATTATATTAATTTGGGTTACCACACTGCCTTCGCTTATCGTCGCACTGCCTCCCCCTGCTGTCATCACTCATCACCACATCCCTTCCCTGCCACACTACCTGATGGACAAAAATTCCACCAGATAACCCGAATCGGGGGTTGGGTTGGATAACTATTAGATATTAGAGCTTGAGAGTACAATGTAACTCACTAGGTTTGATTTCTGCCGAGCAGACTACTCTAGCCGCTCGTAGCGACCTCGACCTGGGCAATTCGGCACTCCTAAATGTTGGTAAGGTTGATGCTTGAAATCCCTTTTCCTTATTTGACGTCACGACTAATATAATGGCACTAACACCCTCTTTTCTTCCCAAGATTTCCTTTAGTTGATGGAACTCATCCCCCTAATGACCAACCTCCAACTGGTCCTAGGAAAGGAGAGGGAGCTGTTTGAAGCAGAGAGACATGAGCTGAAGGACAAATCCAACTGCGATGTTGGGGTGAGGCCACCTACTACGCTAAGAAGCTTCTTGAGGAGAGCCAGCTGAACACCGTCTTCCAAAACCGCATCGCTCAGCTGGAGAGAAAAAAGGGTTCGCTGGCTGTGCGCTGAGGCTGCATCCTTGTCGTCTCGTGTGAGGACCTTGGAGGCGAAGAAGGATGAGCTAGGTTGTCGCCTTCAGGGGGCGGTTGAGGCCTTCAAGGCTTCCCCTGATTTCCAGACGACCGCCCATGGTCGGATGGACATGTTGGTCTCCTTGTGGCTGAAGACAAATGCTGGGGCTGACTAGTTGGTTCAATAAAGCACGCTTTCCTTCGAATTGGGGATTTTCCAAGCTCACCAAGTTTTCTATCGCAAGCTTGCTTCACTCCCCGAGGGGGTTTCATTGCCAAATATGGACCTCCCCCCCTTGCAACAAGCTTCAAGACTTTGATCTCGTGCTTTACAAGGATGCAAAGGGATTGTCCGATGCTGAGGAAGAAATCCAAGGAACCACAAGGGTGGACTTAGCTAGGGCCCGAGACACCGACGTTCCACAGGCGACATTTCTTGCTTCTGAATTGTAATGACTTGGTGTATTTATTCTTATAATGTACTTAGTTCAACTATCCTTTCTTTATAAACATTGCTTCTTGTGTTTAGGTTTCACCTTCTATCTTCATGTTGGGTCATCTCTGGAGTTGTGTTTGCTTAGTTTCGGCCCAAACCTTGGCCCGGGAGTTATTAAAGCCCATTAAACCTTGGCAGATGACCCGATATGGTATGTCGATTGGACGACCAATCAAATTACTTCCTCATTTTATTGGCCCAGCTCGCCGCCCTAGGCCACTTCTAATTGGTTCACCTGCCACCAATTTGAATGCAGGGTTCTCTTTGTTTACCACGCTAGAGGCCCTTTAAAGCTGACATCTTGTAACCACTTCTTTTTCAGTTTTCAACTTCTTTTTTCTCTCATTGCTCATTCCTCCTTCATTATGTCCGAGAAAGAGCCAGGTTATTTAGATCTTTCCAACATCCGTTCCTCTTCCTCTTTGAATTCCATTTCCTCCCCTCGGGAGGTTGGTTCCAATGATTGGGAAGGGCTATGACCCTATGAATTCGGACGGCATTTTCCCATGCCTTGATGGTACATGGTGAAGCCTCCCCCATTTCCCCTAACCCTTATGACAACTTCAAGGAGGTACATAAGAAGATATTATCCCACTGCCTTTCTTCTGGTGCATTATACTAGACTTCCCCTGTCCCAAATTCTAATAGAAATATGATGCTTGGAGGAGGTTGGAAGATAAACTCCAGTGTCTAAGTGAGGAGCACAAGCTATGACGGCGGGCTGAAATCGAGCGCACCTGCAAAAGCCGTACCAGTTCCCTAGAACCAGCCGAGGGTGATGCCCGATTTGAATCTTGGCAAGACGTGGACATGGGGGGAGAACTCAATCCCGCTTGATAGCTGTGGGCTAGTCCTTTTCTTCCTTGGTCGCCCTAGACAATCTCGTGTTTCTCCAAACTCTAGTGTTCCTCCATCGCCATGATAGGCGATCTAGGATGGATGCCCTCTAATTCTCCTTGTAGTGCGGGGAGTGTGCTAAGCTATACAGCTATAAAACTACCCTTCGCTACTCAGGGGTTTGTTTGAGGTGCATCATCTTCTCTTGTCCTTGCTCGAATCTGCATCTAGTAAAGCAAATCAAGTAGAGTAAGAGTTTCTTATATTTATATGCTATCGATAGTGAGGCGAAAATTGTTCTCGTGATCTCTTTAAGTGAAAATGTGAATGACGTAGATAGAATTTATCCCTTCTTTAAGTAAGTATAATATCTTAGGTGATTGATGTGACTTGAAAACTGCATGGACATGCCCAAATAAATATGTTATTTGAATCTCACAAGTAAATCAAAGAATCAGTACATCATCTATTTAACTCTAACAAGGTAGCACACCCCATGCCTTGTGTTAGATCAAGATATTAGTGATAAAGGGATAAGGGTTATACAAAAAAGATGTGTCGTTGAAAGAATTGTTCTAAGAGCTTTATATCTATAATTTGGGGGTGATAATGTGTTGCTAGATATCGCTTATCACTTGTAGTATTTAATCGATATTATGCCCAAATTTAATTATAGGTATCTAGAATAGGGTCACACATATAGAACATATGAAAAGTGTAGAATATTTAGGTGGAGTAAAGTTGCATTATATATATATATATATATATATATATATATATATATATATATATATATATATATATATATATATATATATATATATATATATTGTGTATAATATATTGTGTGACAATGTGATTAGATACACAAATATATATATAAATAAATATTTATATTTAGACATTTTAATTATGTGATAATTAAGTTTGTCAAAAATTATTTAAGGAACAAATTAAAATTTAACATTATATATATATATTTAACAAATTCAATCACCTAAGATATTATACTTACTTAAAGAAGGGATAAATTCTATCTACGTCATGCTGCTCTATTTAACATGACTCTGAGGAGTAAAGCCACAACTGACCTCAATTCCCTTTAATGTTATTGCTGTTTTGGAATATACGTGGAATAAGGAAGTCTTCTCCTAGACTCCAGGCACTGTCATCTATTAATAAGCTCTCTTTTATTGCTCTCAATGGTCCTTTTTGGATCTCATCAGTCTATGGAAGACACACTAGGGCTGAGAGGGCAACTCTTTGGAATACCTTTAGAAGCACTGGCCTTGTTCCCCTTGCCCCTTGGATCATTGGTGGTGACTTTAATTGCATTCATAGCATGGACCAACACAAGGGAAGCTGCAACCCGTGCTATCAATCAGTGGAGGAATTCAGAGAAAGTATGGAAGCTAGCAATCTTCTCTACATTCAACCCTCAGGTGGCCATTTCTCCTGGAGTGGGAAAAGAAGTAAAGGGAAACTATGGCGCAGATTGGACCACATTTACTCAGAAGAGCCAGTTTGTGCTGACGATATGCTGTTTTCTTATATCCCAAATATCATTAGCAGCGAAGAGAACAAACTGATCTGCTCTATTCCTCTTGAAGAAGAAATTAGAGGTGCGGTCTGGGACCTCAATTCAAATAGTGCACCTGGGCCAGATGGTTACAATGGAACTTTTTTCAAAACTTTCTGGCACATTATAAGAGAGGAAGTTGTTAGAGCAACTCAGGAATTCTTCTTGGGCCTGCCAATACCTATATCCTACGGGGCCACCCTTCACACACTGATTCCTAAGGTGGAAAATCCTAAAACCCTGGAAGACTTCAGACCAATATCACTTTCCACTTTCCTCTCTAAAATAAACACCAAAATACTGGCCAACAGATTGGGTTCTCTTCTCCACAAGCTCATCAGTCCTGAACAAAGTGGGTTCCAAACAGGTAAAGGGGTGGATGAAAACATACTCCTTACCCAAGATATGATCCATTGTCTGGGCAACATGTCTGGTAGTGCCAACATAGCTATCAAGGTGGATTTTGCCAAGGCATTTGACAGAATCTCCTGGAAATTTCTGGAGAAATCCCTCAGCTCCTTTGGTTTCTCCCCCCAATCCTGTCACTTGCTCTTGTCTACTCTTAAGGCCACCTTCTTCTCCATCCTCATTAATGGATCACCTCATGGCTTCTTCAGGATGATGAGAGGGGTTAAACAAGGAGACCCCCTCTCCCCCCTCCTCTTCATTATTGGAAATGAAAGCTTAAGCAGGCTGATCAAGGGTAAGGTGCAGGAGGGTTTCCTCCAAACCATGTCCACGGGGAGAAGCAGGCCCCCCTCACACCTTGCTTATGCGGATGACATTATCTTCTTCCTCAATGGACATTTCAGAAATCTCCTCAGATTCAAAGGGCTCTTAGACTGCTTCCTCAAAGCTTCAGGCCACCACATCAACCTCAACAAGAGCCACTTCTATACAGGGTCAAAGGTTAAGCCTGATATCAAAGGAAATATGCGAAGAGCACTCAAAATGGAAGAAGGCAAACTTCCATTCGTGTACCTGGGGGCAACCATTGGCAAAGGCAAGATTAAAAAGGAAGATTGCAAGAAAATAGTCCTTCACTTTGATGACTACCTTAACACTTGGCATAGCAATGTTCTTAACCAAATGGGGCGCTTGATCCTCATTAAACATGTATTAAGCTCTATCCCTTTACACATTGTTGCTGTCCAACAAATGCCAAAGTCAATCCACAGCTTACTAAATAAAAAGATGCAAAATTTCCTTTGGGGGTACATAGATGGAAGGCCAAAGTACCATTGGAAATCCTGGCGTAGTTTATGCTTCCCAAAACATGAGGGTGGTTTAGGCCTCAGGCACCTGGAGGACATTGAAGCTGCATACTCGGCCAAAATATGGTGGAAGATAAGGAACTCTCATGGCTTATGGGGAGATTACATGAGGAGCAAATACCGTCCATCATCTTTTAATGAATGCCCTACTGACACAGTTACCTGGAAGAGAGCTGCACGGATACATTCATGGGCCATTCAGCATGTTCACAACACAAATAACGTTGAGACGTGGGAGGGAGAGCCTTTCACCACCAAGGTCGCATACCACACTTGGAGGGAGTCTAAACCTACATCTCTCGTTAGCAAGATGATTTGGAACAAACTACAGATCCCAAAGATTAGCCTCTTCATGCGGAAAGCTCTCAACTCAATTCTCCCATTCCCGGAAAATCTGGCCAGATTTAACCTGGCCATCCCCTCCCAATGTAACTTCTGCCGTAATGGACCCCAGGAGCTCAACCACACTCTTTTCCAATGCGTGGAGTCTACCAAGATATGGAGGTTCTTCTCAGCACTCTTCAACGGTCCTATTGTTAATAGGGCTGATACCCTTAATGATACGTGCATGAATTGGTGGGTGAGCACGCCAAGGACCAAAATGCAGGATAAACTCAATGGCGTATTGCCGGGTTTCATTGCATGGGGATTATGGAAGGCTTACAATGCAAAATAGTTTGAGGGAAAGGCCTTTAAAGAAGGGACGATCATAGCTTCTACAATGAAGATAATTTAGCAATGGATATGGATCCACAAGGAGAAGAAATGGATGATCCTGGACGATCAAATGAAAAGCTTAGGATTCTGTTTGTATCGTAATAGATTTAATCTTCACTATATTTCTACCTAGTTGATATCTATGGTGGGTAGAAGTCATCTACCACACAGCTGTAAACTCTTAATCTTTCAGCTAATATAAATATTATTTATTATATATATATATATATATATATATATATATATATATATATATATATATATATATATATATATATATATCTGTGTGTGTGTGTGCACGTGTGTGTATTAAATGTTATATTATTAATTCTGTGTTAATTATATGATAATTAAAGTTGACAAAATAAATCAGAAGCTTCCTTAAAGTAGGTATTTAGAAAGTACCTAAGTCGAATAAGAATGAGATTTGATTTCTTTCCTAAACATTAAAAGGAACGTTCCCATAAGGAATATGAATGAGGATTATGCTCCTTATAAGTAGGAGATCATCCCACCCTTTTTCTTAACCCATAGTTTTGGCTTTCTCTCTACTTTAAGAGACAAAAACTTTATTTTGTTCTCTTAATACTTTACACAAAATATTTATATTTTAGAAGTATTCTAGAGAAAAATTATTAGCATAGTTTTCTCTAGAATGCTCTTCATAGTTCGTGTGTCTCAACTCGAGGTCATATACTTTTGTGGCTAGCTCTTGGACAAATCTTCCAACCTACACATATCGTTGCTTGCTCGCCAAGAAAGGTATATTCTATAACAATAACTTATAATGATCATAAGAGGTCTTGCATTGGGTGGATCTAGGTTTAGACATTCTAAAATTTGTTTTTTGCTGCACTATCCAACTGTAGAATCCTACAAAAGCTTACTAAGTATAGCCGATCATATTTTTCAGAGACAAGTAAACGGTGGCATATCAAACTAGGTGGGACTGTTGCCCTCAAAATCTTGTATCTTTGTGATCATTATGGGGCCGGCCTTGAAAAATTAAAAAAATAAAATTGGCCTGGTCCAAAATTACCATTTTGGGCCCTATTTTATTTTTTTTAGAATTCTTATACTTTAAATTAATACCGAATTTAAAAATATGGTGCCCTAAACTTTTAAGGGCTCTGTGCGATTGACTACTATACACACCATCTAGGCCACCCATGACACTCACCCACCCTCATTACTCAGATCATCAATATAGGAAAAGCTTTTGAAATCGTTTTAGATTTGCAGTCAATCAATATATTCTGATTGAAGAGTAGTAGATGTTGTCTCTTTGCTTGTCTATGAGCGGGCAACTTCCATGCACCTACTACATCTCCTTTACTCTTTAATTTTTTTGTGATAGAGAGAGGTAATGAGTCATTCATTTATATTCACACAAAACGAAGGGCTGACTCGGGGGCGATCAAGTGGAGCCACTTGACTCCAGTGAGTAGATTTAAAGATGTATATATGTCGCAAATTTTATCGTACAACCGGTTGTACCGAATTTTCAGTACAATCGGCTAATTGAGGAAGGAATAAGATGGAACGAAAGCCACCGAAATTTCTGTCGCTCCTGTATTTGTGGACGGGTCGGGCAATTGGAGACGAAAGATGATGGAGTAGCAAAGACAGAAGATGATGAGGAGTGATGGTGGCAAAAATCCGGTGAAAATGATGGAGAAAGAAGATCTAAGGAGCACCGAAGGTGGCGATGGCGTTACAAATTGAAGTTGCGGTTCGGGTCTCGTAGATTGAGGAAGAAAGCCATGGTAGATGGGAGGAGAGGTTGGGATGAAAACCCTAGTTGCAGAGAAAAGGTTATTTATGGTATGTGTTTTATTTTATTTGAGAATGAGCATTAAGTTATTTGAGAATGAGTACTATTTTTATTTAGAATGAACACAATGTTATTTATGGATAAATATTATAATTGAATTGAATAAGTGTGTGAAAATGGGTACTACATGATTTTAGAATGAGTACCACGTTATTTTAGAGTGAATAGTAATGTTTGTGCGAGAATGAGTACTACTCTACTTCGAAATGAGTACTGCTCGGATGTACATATCTCTATGTACATCCAGTTGTACGTATATACCATATACCTTCTCGTATATATGTAGTTTTCAAAAATATTAAGCTTCTAGTAAATTTGGCTACTTCTTTGATGAACTAGCATTTTCACTCGTGCGCTGCACGGGGTCGATGAAGTTTTTGTTGATTTTGAATTTTTCTTAATGCAATATATTTTTCGAATCAAGTAAATATATTTCTAATACATTTTTTTATCATTGGACAAAAACACCAAGGTAGAATAAATATCCTTGTGTGGGACTCCGGGTGAAAATATTGATCATATTTTTGTGGTTTCCCCGTTCTCGAAAATGGTTTGGAATCAGCTTGGAATTTCTTATAGCAGTCCTGTAGGGCTAAATTTCAATGCGTGGATGATGCATCTGTTTGACAGGTTTTCATTGCTTGAACTTCGTCCAGTCATCGCAGGGGTTTGGGCGATCTGGAAAGCACGCAATAAGGCGGTTTGGGAGAGGCAGGTGCCCACGCCTCAGTCCACGGTGTGTTTGATCCGGAAGCTGTGCAAGGAGTGGCATGAGCGGGCTGTGCCGGAGGCTACTGCAGGAGCAGTGGCAGGGGCTGTGCGGGCAGTTTCGGGGGCTGTTGCAAGTGGGGTTTCGGGGGATGTGCGGGCAG